TAAAAAAAAAAAAACTTACACCATGAAGACGATGTGGAGGTTCATCCTCAGAGCTGGTTGGTGATCTGGTGGAGCCAGAGCCTCTTCTGAGACAGGAAAGTCTTTAGGTTTCCTAACATCTGATTTCTGTGGCTTCTTCTTTCATCTTCATTTGTTTAGACTGCAAAAATATGTAAAAGATAAAAACATTGATGAACAAGTTATAACAGCCTCAATATCAATGTCTCTTTGGCATACTGAGCTTAATTAAAACCAGGTTAAGTTTATGAAGAAAACTATTGAGTCGCAACAAATAACGCCTTTATGCAGTTATAACATGAAGCTGAATGATTGTTATAGTAATAATCATATAGGTCACAATACAATTTGATAAAATAACTCTTTCTGAAACCATCGTAAGTTTGTTTATATGTGTACTGCACTGTTATAATTAAAAAAGATAATTAGCAATTTGAATCAAACTTACCACCAGCTAGCAACACGTTAGCAGCCTTGGTCCCTTCGGTCTCCTTTTGTGACCCACATTTCATTTCCATCTGGTTCTTGTCCAGGTGTGTTTTTGCCCAATTCAAAGTGGGAGGTACCAGCTTGAATTTACCAAAACTCCTAACTATTATCAATGGTCTTTTTACTTTTAAGGCTATATTATGTGAGTAAAAATGGCGAATTTGAACATTAATTCTTCTTCCTGGCTTCATGATGATGCTGTTCGTCTTTTTATGGCGCTTTTCAAAAAAACTGAAAGTGTGCAACACCGCCACCATCTAGTCTGGAGTGTAAACTGGAGCTAATGTCATTCAATGATAGATCTTACATCATATATCTGAAAATGGATTGGGTAAAGACAGCTTCCGTATTTTAGTTAACAACTGAAAACAATAGATCATATTCGGAGCAATGTAAAACTGAAGATACCTGCTACATTTAGTGTTAAGGACAAGTATTGTTTTTGTTGTAGCATCTCTGTCACACTAAACTGTCAATGTTTGATGTTTTGTGGTCTGAACACATTACTTACCACTTCCTTAAGCAACATTACATTAAGTTCCACTGTAAGGATTGTTTTTAGGCCTTAGCAGCTAAGTGCTGCTAAGGCCTAATGTAATCATGGTTTTGATTATTATTCCACTTCCGTCAAATGAATTGGATTTTTGGGGGCTTTATCATATTCAAAACTCACCAAACTTGGCGGACGTGTCAAGACTGCGAAAAATGTACGCATTTTAAGGTTGAAGCAAAAATTGCACAAGAAACAGCTCAACAGCGCCACCTAGCAAATTTCAAAAAACCCTCCACATTGACCTTACTTCATAGTAGAGGCATGTAATTTGGTACACTTGTAGAGCTTCCCAAGATGCACAGAAAATTCAATTGATGTCAGTGCAACTCAAACAGGAAGTTGGTCATTTTGGATTGAAGTTCTGATTTTGACCCCATTTTGGCCATTCACAGCCTTCACATTTGATCTAACTCCTCCTAGGTATTTCGATCAATTGGCTTCAAACTTGGTCAGATTGTTCATAAGGCACCCTTTTGATAACTCAATGTTATCAAAAGGGCGAGTTTTCGTGCATGCTGAAGGGGCGTTGCCAGGGATCAAAGTTCACATACTCACCATAAAACACAAAACTCTTATATCTCCTACACAAAAACTCACAGAAGCACCAAACTTTCAGTGTTTGATCATCATCAGGTGCCCTACAATACCCAATGGTCAAATGATGACATCACTGAGGAAGTTATGATGACATCACACCACGCCCCAGGAAGTGTCATGTTTTACTGTGAATGGTCTCTATCAGAGCCCTTTGAAACTGTGTCCAGAGACAGAAGATATGTTGGTGTGACTGGGTGTCCAACACCAATGGATTTCGTTAAAGCAGGTGGGCGTGGCAGTGTGGCGAAGTGACCTCTAATACTGTTGCCGTACGTTTGGCTTTAAATTCCACAGTTTTGAGCCGAGCTGCACCTAACTCACTAAGGTGGATCTTTACCACAACCCCGACAGGAATCCACAACAATCTTTGGTGGGTGTGGCCTAATTTATCTACAGCGCCCCCTAGAAGATTTTAAAAGCTCATCCCCAAGCTGTGCTTTAACCCAGAATTACGAAACTTGGTACACATATATCTTGTTAGGACTTATAAAAAGTCTCTTGGAGCCATTCTCCAAAGCCAACAGGACAAGATGGAAGGTGGCCATTTTGGATCAAAGCCACCATTTTCTCTTTTTCATAGACGACATATCTGGCTGAACTCGTCCTACAGCTTTTGAGATACAGACTTCGGATGTAACAGTCTGTTTAGTATTCAGTGAGTTGCTATTAATTAAATGATACTTCATTCTGCCTGCTAAACCTATAACACTGAGGCGTCTATCGTTTATAAATTTAAGGTCACTTCACCACCAACGGCCCCCGGCGCATGTGGAAGGGCATCAAGTGCATCACTAACCACAACATCAGGGGTGCACAATGTCCAATGGACCCCTCACTGCAGGTTGTACGCCCGCGTCAAGGATCCTAACCTCCCTCAGCATCAGAGTAATTCCACCACCTGGTGACACGCCTCTCTGTGTGACAACAGCATATGTGAAGAAGTCCCTCCAGGAAATCAACCCCCGAAAGGCTGCAGGCCCCGACAACATCCCAGGACGAGTACTGAGAGACTGTTCACATCAGCTGTCTGAGGTGCTGACTAGGGGTTGCACCAATTAGTCGACTAGTCGATTCTTTTTTCTGCAATGATTTTTTTCTGGGCTAGTCGACTAGTCACAATCACATGACTAAACAGATTTTTCCAAGGAAATGAAAGAAGGTGGACTAGGTGAGTTCGTCAGAAAGCTCAAATTGTATAAAAATGTAAATAATTTAACAAAGACAATCTGTAAATTACAGCATAGGCTACCGCAATAGGGGCGTTGCGCAGCGCGGTGGTTAGCACGGCGCCCCGCATACAGAGACTTTAGCCCGCGGTAGTCAGGAGTCCGACTCCCGTCCTCCATTCGCTGGGCCCATGCCTCTCTCCCCCCGTTCCGCTCTCTCTGCCCCCTTACAGTCAGATTGCTGTGAAATAAACTAGTGCCGAAAAATTCCTTAAAAAAAAAAAACAAGTCTACCGGAGTAATGTGCGACAACGTGTCATGATGTCAGGCTATATTATCCCTCAACTACCCCCAACTGATCAGCGTCACACTTCGTATTGAAGCTTTTAACCTTCAATACGCTCTTTAGATCTTTACGCTTCTAAAGAGCGTAAAGATCTTTATAAGATCTTTACGCTCTTATAAAGTTATGGTTTGACTACACCTGGAAACTAAGTCTGAGGATATGATAGAGGCGATCTCGGCCGCCGTCTGCATGTCGGTTCAGAGAGCCGAACCGACTCTGAGTCAGCAGAGCGTCCTGCTGCGCGTTGGACGGAAGAGCAGCAGGAGGTTTTCTTTAATTCAACTGTAATCAAACGGGATCCGTTCATAATAAGTTTGGTTTGTGATGTTCCAAAAGCACCATTGTGGTCAGTGTGATAATTTGACTCCTATACGAGTAACTATCCAGAGATCATCAGCATCAGCCGGTGTTTGGAAAAAAAAAAAAAAAAAAGTCAGACCCGACTTTGTGCAACGAACTTTTCTCCCCCGCTCACGAAGAATGATCTGTTTATTGCTCTTTTAATTCTGCATACTAGACTTAGTAAAAGCGGGAGAAGGGGAGGGGGGTCAATATTTGCCGTGAAAATAGCTGATAAAGCCTCCAAGTAGTTGTGAAGGGTTTTTGCGCTTACGTCACTATGACGTCACCGCGACTAGTCGACATCGACTCGACTATTATCATGATGTAGTCGACCTTAAAAAATATGTAGTCGTTCAACCCCTAGTGT